CTGGTCAGATGTATCTGAAACTGACTAAACCTGACAAGCAGGGGATATTAACATTAGACATACTGTACTACTACGTTTTACGCGCAGATTTATTTGGTTGCTTATGTATTAAGATCTCTCTTAATAGCCTTCAAGCGTCCTGTTCTAAAGATTATTAGTACTTACCAAATCAGTGAATAGCAATTTTCGCGCGTTTTGATTGGCTACCGTAACTCGGAATATCCTTGGCTATTCACAGTGTTTTGCGACCCCAAGCTAAGATGGCGTCTCGTTTTGAGAAATTTATGGAAGACGAAATTTGAGCGATAAATGAAGCAGTCGTACAAACAAATACCAAGAAAGCGACGACTTCAGCTTGTCGGTGTTTACTGGTAGGTAGAAACTTCTTTTCTTGTTGAATTTCCAACAAGATCATAAAAACGCACCTGACAAAATGCCCTAAATATTTGTAAATTGTAAACACACTTCCTACTAAGTGATGTTTTTAATTTACAAAAAAGTTACTTTTTTCATTTGTATCCAACTGATTTGGTAAATACTAAAACAACACTCATCACATCACCCCCTTCGGGGGATAGTTGTGTACTATATAATGTTATAAGTGACAACGTGATCATCAGCGTCTTACTGTAGTTACCAAAAGGTTAAAATACTTTTTTCTTCTTCTAGGTTCCATTTCAATAAAGAGTAGGGTTTGGAAGCACAAGAACGCTTCTTGAAGAGTGATCCACTGAAAGCCATCAGCTATACAGAGGACTCCATATACGATCTCAGAAGACAGCATGTCTCAGGACAACTCCACGCACGCTAAGCAAAAATCATTAGAAAGAGACGTGCGGCTGGGATTTTATATCGCAACATTTGTGATCGGACTGATTGGAAACCTCCTCGTTTTAATTGTCATTTGGGCGAAACGAGGCAAGAAAACAGTGAATGACTTGTTTATCATGAATCTGGCAGTATCGGACCTTACACTAATCTTCTTCCTTCCCATTCACATTTACGGTATGTTTCACACCCTCCCCGTCAACGCGTTCTTCTGTCGTTTTATCCGTCCGATGATGACAGTTTCATTTTTTGTCAGCGTCTACACTCTGACGTCAATGGCAATCCATCGATGTCACGTGATTTTAAATCCCTTCAAACAGGAAATGCGTCAGAAGTCAGCTGTGTTGTGGATTATAGTGCTGTGGATTCTGTCGCTCACTAATGTTCTCCCTCTAATGATTGTAACCAAACCAAAGCAGTCGGAGGAATGCGTGGAAACTTGGCCGAGTTTGGACCACAGACGCGCCTATACCGCTGCGTTGTTTGTACTACAATATGTTCTTCCGTTAGCAATCATTGCTGTAGCCTATATTAGAATCGGATTGGATCTCAACCGCTCCTGCCCAGGTCGTCGTGGAAAAAAGACTCCCAATGGCCCGGAAAATCAGGCGAGGAGGCGCGAAAACTTTAAAGTTACAAAAACCTTAGCGATCATAGTTATTATATTTGCTGTCTGTATGCTACCGAGCCAGGTCGGATGGATGTTACTAGACTTTGGGAGCACCCATCAGCAGCGAATTGCCAAGGTGATATTCAAGTTTTCACTCGTTCTTACAGTGTTTCACAGCTGTGTTAACCCTCTTGTATACGGAAGCATCACTAAGCAATTTAGGCGTGGTTACGTCAAATATCTGTCCTATCTGTGTTATTGTTGCAGATTTTCAATTTTGAAAGAGTTTCAGATTTTACGGCCTTTTGAAAGTTCGTCACAGCAGGGACGTGATGATTCTAGGCGACCACTCAACGGAGAGCAAACAAGTACCAAACTTGACATAATTTGCTCTGAGCCTACAACATTCAAAGAACCTTTGAACTCAAAAGAGGAGGCCGTTGATACACTCACTATAGTGTAATAGTTGAGCATAACTATTTAAGTTTAAACGAGAAACTCAGGTGACCGAGCCAAGGGAGAACTTAACGCAACCACGAGGTCGAAGTCAAAGACCATCTAAAGTGAATCTGCGTTCTTTCTCTTTATTTCTACTCAATCAATCTGCCAAGTGAAAACGTATTTCCTGGAAATGAACTGGTAGAGGCCGCAGAAAGAAAAATCTGTCGTTGTGTGTTTACACACGACACACAGTCAATGTGATGCGCGTGCATAGCTGTTGCTTTGTAAGTTTAAACCAATTGCCGCCGCCGTCGAAGTTGCTTTAAAACAATCTTGATAATTTTTGCGAGGGTGTGGAAGAAAGGAGATTTGCTGTGTACACGAAGGGGCGGAAAGAGAGGGCATGGTATCCCTGTTCCAATAGCTTATTTTAGGGCCTTGCACTCATTTTAAGTAGCAAAGAAAATAAGTGGATTCTTATTCCAATGATGATCAAAAATATAAAAAATATTACATTATCCTTATATGTTATGGATAGTGGATGCTGCTAGGGCATCAGTATATTTAGAGCAAAAATTTGCACGTATGCATTGAGACCAAGATATGTATTTGTTATACTGAGTTAAAACGTGATGTTTCACGTTTTCTGCTGAACTACCCGATTTAAAAAATAAAAAGAACTTGTAACCTATTTCAACAATATTAGACACGACTTTCGAGTAAAGCAATTTGATTGCCATTCAAAAAAAGTCGTTACAGTTTGAGATCCGAGGAACGGTGAAAATATAATGGAAAAAGTGTGGAGGAATTAATCAGTTAAAACCTCTTTCTCTATAGAATTCCATTTTATTTAATGTATTTTTGGCTATATTTTATTTAAATCAATCTTGCTTGTCGGATTTTATCATTGCGATTGTAATTTCAATATGATGAGCGCGCGTCTTATTGCAACGTTATAAAAAATCCTCCTAGGTAATGCAGGCACGTATTATGGCAACGTTTATCGATGCTCTTTCTTACAATAACTGCATGCATGAGCAATTTCTTACGAGAACTAAGGTCAATGAGCGTTTTTACAATTTAGAGGATGCTCCGCCGCGTGCTGTCATTACTCGTTGCCCATAATCTATTAGAGTACGGACACACGAATGACGTGACGCGAAACTAATTCTCTTTGTTTTAAGTCACTAGTCAAGTCAACTTTGACCAATCCTTCAGGAGTTACAACAAACGTTATAAATATAGATACTACCTGATACAATGTTGTATTGCTCTACCTATAGTAAAAGCAGGAGCCCATCAAATTTGATGGGCTCCTGGTAAAGGTTAAAATAGTCCAATTTACAAGGATGTCATGCTACAATAATTAATAAGTGATTGAAGATTGAATGATCCACTCTCTCTTTGGAAGTTGTGGCGGTTTGTTAAGAGTGTGTCCATATAGCCTGCGTAGCATAAGCGTTTCCGTGCGGTTTCGGAGAAAAGAACGAGGGATGAGTGTCCATGAGACAACTAGGCAGAACCCGGGGAGGGGTGATAATGCTCAAATCACCGATTTCGCTCAAACTGGGCACAAATGTTAGGCATCAGGAGTTGACTTATGTAAGAAAATATCAGGTCAAAATATTAAATTTCCTGGAAGATACGGGGGCCCCCTGTGAAAATCGCTATTTTGCCTGTTGTATGCATAATTAGCTAACTTTACGATGCCAGTGCAACAAACAGAAAAGCCATCTGAAATTTTAATTCACTGAGAGATTATCTGGGCGCAATCAACTAATAAAGTATTCAATGTCGCCAATTCGATTTTCCCTCTCAACGTTTCTTGATTTGAATAAGTCGTTAAATTAAGGCTTTTACCCCCATATATCAGTAGTCATGCTTCAGCAAAGATAAGCTCCGTTGGTGGATAGGTAAGGATAGTTTAGGGATAGGTAAGGAAAGTTTAGGGATAGTCTATGAAGTCACCCATTGTTATAACCTAGGGAAAAAATGCCTTCCTCCATATGTAATGAAGTGGATAGGTTTACTAATGAGCGAATACTACAATAGGCACAATAGGCTTACCTCAGCTGCCTGTTAAGTAACTTGAGCCCGGTTTTCAGACCGTCTATTAAAAGGAATAAGAAAGCGGTCATCTAGCAAGACGAGAAACGGCTTACTATATCTTATTTAGCGCTAAAACTCGGATATATAAACCAAACACACGCACATATACACAAAGTGGAGCTGAAAACTCTTTATTTCAAGTTTGTCTGACTATTACATTACCATTTTCTCCTTTCTATCTCGAGGAAATGAAAAACTATTAAAGTCTCAGCGTTTCACGCACCGTTAGTCAAGTAATTGTAGAGAACTGGAACTAGTTAGAATAATATCGAAAAGGACTGGCTCTAGCCAAGATGATGTAATCGCAAGATGGCGGAAAACGCCACTGACACGTATTAAAAGAGTTAGAAGTTTGGAGTAATTTGTGGTTGATTTAGGCGTGTTAGTCTAACAAAATTGGCGACCCCGCCAGGACTTGTAACCCGACGAAGATGAAACACTGGATGGAACGTTTCTGGCGATCGATTTTGGTATGTTTTTGAGCATATTTGTGTCTCTCATCGCTTTGACCACGTGCTTCCACTGCCCGCCATTGTCAATCGGAAACATCGGAACTGAGGCCTTGCCGATGATGGCAGAAGATCTTCAATTGGAATTACAGTCTAGCATCTATGCCGCGGACTGGAGCTCACTCGAGCGAATGGCCAAGTTCTTCAAAGTTGAATATGAGGAAAAACAAAATTGTTTGTGGCGAAACGTGTTGCTCTACGGCTCGATGATGAAATTGAAAAACTGAAGGAAGCCGAAGTCGTGCCGTACCTCAAGGACGTAAAAGAAATGCTGACAGAGAAACCCCATGGCATCAAGAACGATGAAGAAGATGGTAAGCCAGTTCTAAGTGATTCAAAACCTCCTCCCGTAGCGAAGGAAGATCCTGTTCAAAAACTACTAGCGACTAGCGCGTTACGTAGACAGTTTAAGATCAGTGGTCAAATCGGGGAACCCGAGCAGAAAGACAAAATTAGTTTTTCTTCCCTTATGCGTCAAATTCAAATGGGGTTGGCCCAAGGTTATGGCGAGTGAAATTGTTGATGGTGTTATTCGCTCAATTACACCTGGCATGGTACTTAGGAGTTACCTCGAAACTTACGAAGATTTGACATTGGATCGGTTAAAGAAAATTCTCCGTAGCCACTATGGTGCAAAGAATACATCAGAACTCTATCAAACACTGGCATCCCTATGTCAGAGCCCAAAGGAGTCACCCCAGGCATTTTTGATGAATGCTCTTGATCTGAGGCAACAAATCCTGTTTGCATGTGGTGAAGAAGAAGGTGAAATATCCCTACAGTATGACTCTGGACACATACAACGTCTGTTTCTTCGGTCAGTAGAAACTGGTTTACAGGATGAAAGTATTCGTGCTAAGATTCGCCCATTCCTGAAGGACTCAAATGTGACAGATGAAGTGTTGATGCAACAGATGAGCATGGCTACGTCAGCAGAAAAGGAAAGGGACAAGAAGCTTAAGAATAATACCAAGACCAAACAACCACCATTATCAGTGTCTGCGGTATCTGATGGCCCACCGAAAGAAAAGGAAGGAGGCAAGAAGAACAGCCCTCAGAATGATCTTCTAACAGCTATAAGTGCAATCAAGTCAGAAGTCGAGGCATTGAAAAGCGAGGTCAGGAAGAACAGCAATCAAAGTGTACCTCCAGGCAAGTGGCCAGAGAGAAGAAGACCACCTTTGTGTTCAAGCTGCCTCGAGAACAGAAAGGAATATTGCAATCACTGTTTTAAGTGTGGGAGCGAATCTCATCTGGCAAGGGGATGCAGGAAGCAGTTAAACAGGAATCGACTGCTCCCGCGAGACAGGAAGCAGTCGTAAACCCACCAAAGTCTCACCAATGTAGCCACTGTTGTAAAACCGGAGTAGAGCATGGACAACTTAAAAGATGTAGTCAGTGTCAGAGTGTATGGTATTGCACCACGCGATGTCAAAGGGACACTGGGCTGAACACAAGGTGTTGTGCCAAGCAATAAGTCATCTTTCTGAGGCGAGTACAAGTAAGTCAAAAGAGTTTGTAGACCCAGCCTGTGTCAGTCATTTAACTCCAAGTGAGCATGCTAAAGTTATTGGCCTTGTTGGCAAGAAGTGTATGGTGAAGTGCTTGCTCAATGACTATGAATGTGAAATGTTATGGGACACTGGTGCCCAGGTTTCAATAATATCAGTCGACTCTCTCCAAAGATGCTTAGGACAAGTAGCCATTAGACAGTTGTCAGAACTCTTGGAGACAAGCCTTAGCCTAACAGCAGTGAATGGGTCTCAAATACCCTACATTGGGTGGGTGGAAGCCAGAGTTATGCTAACTCCTCCTGGTAGTGATAGCAATCAAGAGGAACTGTTAGTGCCTTTTCTAGTGACATCAGAAAAGTTGGACTGTCCCATTTTGGGATACAATGTCATTGAAGAGTTAGTAAGTCAGGACCAGAATCCAAACCCAACAATTTACAAGAGTTTCCCTGGAACAGATAAGACAAAAGTAGATGCCTTGGTAAATTTCAATCAGAGTTCAAGTTCAGATGCCATTTGTAAAGTGAGGACGGGAAGGAGAGATGTGGTGATACCAAGGGATAGCATGATAACTGTTGGCTGCCGTGCAACTACAGGACCAGTAAACAAGCTAACACCAGTACTGTTTGAGCCAAATGAATTGGCACAGTTACCAGAGGGTTTAGAAGTTAATGGAACTTTGTTAAATGTCAAACCAGGAAAGTCATCTAAGGTACAGATTGCTGTACACAATGGGACAGACCATGATATTCTGCTTAAGAGTCGCACCCCGTTAGAGTCCTTCAGGCAGTCAAATCAGTGACAACAGCAGATGTTAGACTGAGTGAATGTAGAACCCAGAATGACCAGCAATATTTTGAGAAACCTAAACCTCAGGGACCCACCACCCCTGCTGAGCAGCAAAACAAAGAAAATGAAAACCCACTTCCGGCAGTTGATCTCGGTGATTTGGATCATGACCAGCGGACTGCAGCTGAAATGATGCTGAGGGAAGAGTACGAGTCATTCTCATCCAATGAAGAAGATATTGGCTGCATCCCTGATCTGGAAATGGAGATTAATCTGCATAATAACCAGCCAGTGCAAAAAGAAGTACACGTCAATTCCTCGACCACTGTATCCGGAGGTGAAACAGTACATTGAAGACCTTCTGAACCAGAATTTCATCACTGAATCCAAGTCCCCATACTCCTCTCCAGTTGTCTGTGTTCGCAAGAAGGATGGGTCTCTAAGGCTATGCATTGACTATCGAGAACTAAATCGCAAGACTATTGCTGACAGACATCCCATTCCTAGAGTCCAAGAGACCTTGGATAGTCTTGGCGGAAATAAGTGGTTCAGTGTACTTGACCAGGGTAAGGCGTATCATCAGGGGTTCGTAAACAGGGACAGTAGAGCAGCGACAGCATTCATTACACCGTGGGGGCTATATGAATGGGTAAGGATCCCATTTGGATTGATGAACGCACCTGCGAATTTCCAACGGTTTATGGAACGTTGTTTGGGTGAACTAAGGGACAAAGTGGCTATACCGTACCTCGATGACATCATAGTATTTAGTAGGACATTTGCAGAACACATCGAGCATCTGAGAACAGTATTGCGAAAGTTACGAGCACATGGAGTCAAGTTGAAGCCGCGCAAGTGTAGTTTGTTCAAACGCGAGGTCAAGTTTTTAGGAAGAGTTGTGTCAGGTGATGGTTACCAGATGGATCCAGGGTGTGTACAAGCTATCGAGAAGTTAAAGGAAGTAACACCCAAAACTGTTGGTGAAGTAAGACAGCTTGCAGGAATACTAAGTTACTACCGAAGGTACATTAAAAACTTTGCTAAAATTGCGAAACCGATCTATGACTTGCTTACCAGCACAGGACAGGATGGACAACAGCCCTCAAAGACGCCAATCGTTTGGGGAAGAGAACAGCAACTAGCCCTCGAGAAGTTAGTGGGACACCTCAGTAATCCACCCATTATGGCTTATCCAGATTTCTCAAAAGCATTTACTCTCCACACCGACGCAAGTAAAGACGGTCTCGGGGCAGTGTTGTACCAAAACCAGGATGGGGTCATGCGAGTTATTGCTTATGCTTCACGAGCGCTGTCACCAGCTGAGAAAAAGTACCACCTTCACGCAGGAAAACTTGAGTTTCTTGCTCTAAAATGGGCAGTGACTGAACACTTCCGTGACTACCTTTACTACTCGCCAAAGTTTACTGTTTTCACTGATAACAACCCCTTGACATACATCCTAACATCAGCGAAACTGAACGCCACTGGTTTACGGTGGGTTAATGAATTAGCCGACTTCCATTTTGAGATCAGGTATCGACCAGGAAAAGCCAACGCAGATGCTGACACCTTGTCTCGTATGCCAATCAGTTTTGAGGGCTATATGAAAAGTTGTTCGGAAGTAGTTAATCAGGATGTTCTGGATGCTGTCACATCTTCAGTCCATGTAACTAACACCCCCCAGACCGCCTGGTTGTCATCTCTCACCGCAGTACACGACATGTTAAAGGAAGAGCGTGTAGACATTCCAACTCTGCCACGTGATGAACTTGTCGCAGCTCAGCAAGAAGATCCATCAATTGCTCGTGTTTTACAGTTTATCCAAATTGGAAGGCGTCCCACCTATCAGGAAAGGCAGCAAGAGACAGCTATTGCCCGACAACTCTTACACGAATGGAATAAACTGTTTATTGCTGAAGATGGAATCCTTTATCGGAAAACTGGGTGTGGAGACAAAATGGTTTTACCCAAGAAATACCACAAAAGGGTGTATGAAGAGCTACACGAAAACATGGGGCACTTGGGTGCCGACAGAGTAGTGGAACTAGCTAGAGAACGCTTCTATTGGCCGTTTATGAGAGCGGACATCACCCATTATGTCACAAAAAAGTGTGTCGTTGCCTGAAGCAACGTAAACCCGCAACTCATGTCCACGCACCACTTCAGCCTATCCTCTCCACAGCACCTTTCCAACTCGTCTCCATGGACTATGTTCATCTCGAACCAAGCTCGGGTGGATACCAGTACATATTGGTAATCATGGATCACTACACCAGATTTGCCCAAGCATACGCCACCCGGGATAAGTCTGCGAAGACCGCTGCCAACAAACTGTATAATGACTTTATCATGAGATTTGGGTTTCCAGGAACCATTCATCATGACCAGGGCGGAGAGTTCGAAAACAAACTCTTCTACAACCTTGAGAAACTGAGTGGGATCAAACATTCGCGGACAACCCCTACCACCCACAAGGGAATGGGCAGGTTGAAAGGTTCAACCGAACACTTCTATCAATGCTGAGAGCCCTGCCAGAGAAACAGAAATCCCGTTGGCGTGACCATCTCAATAAAGTAGTCCATGCATACAATTGCACTCGCCACGACTCTACTGGATTCTCACCTTTCTATCTACTATTCGGTAGGACGCCAAGGCTACCCATCGACCTAATGTTTGGCTTGAAACCTCCAGAGGGATATTCTACATACCCTGAGTATGTTAAAATTGGCGAAGAGCCATGAAAGAAGCTTACGAACTAGCCTCCGCTCATGCAAAGAAAAGTGCAGACATGGGGAAACAACAGTATGACAAGAAAGTTAGACATACCACGCTACGTGAAGGAGACCGTGTTCTTGTGCGAAACATGACGGAGCGTGGTGGCCCAGGAAAGTTACGCTCTTATTGGGAGCAAGAAATCCACGTTGTTACTCAAAAGAGGGAGGATATGCCAGTTTACGAGGTAAAACCAGAGACTGGTAATGGAAGGACAAGAGTTCTGCATCGCAACCTGCTGCTACCATGTTCCTTTCTACCTGTTGAGATACCACCTAAGCCATCCAAGAGTCGTCGCACGATGCCCAGGACAACCCGAAGACAGCGGGAGCTACAAGAGAACACAACCAGAACCACTGATGAGAACATCCCTGGGTTAACACCTGGTCAACTTCAAGAATTTTACGAGTCTACGAGGAATCATACTGAAGACAATTGCCAAATTGTTCCAGAGTTAGATGAACACGACACTTACCCTTGTCAAGTTGATGGTCCAGGCTCAGAGGGAGAGGCTGAAGACACAGAGCAACCAAGTGGTGCGTTCGATGATGAAGCTGTAGATGGTGTACCTCTAAGACAGTCACAGCGCGTAAGCAGACCACCCCTCAGGATGACCTATGATGCAATGGGACAACCCTCCTTTCAACCCAGTTCCACAACAGGAATTCGCGGCATCACAGCATCATATCCACACCAGTTATGGCAGCCTGTCCCGGTATCATGGATGGTGCAACAACCTGTCTTTCAGCCCTTCAGTTATTTTGTACCTTTCCCAGTACACGTTCAGCCGATGTATCCTGTGCCTGCGTGGCGTTACCAGCAAGCCTGGTGGCATTAACTTGAAGAGAAAGGAACTGTTTTGGACCAATTGAAATTACGTTCGTTTTAGATAAGACGGATAAATGTTTAGTATAGTATAACTCACATGTCGTTCGTTTTAAGAGGTACAACCTTGTTTTATTAGGAGATTTTTTTTTCTCGATCTCTACATGTTCTTTGTACGGGCAATCAATCGATATAGGCGCGTTATCGAACAGTAAAGATAACCCAGTAACATTTGGGCAACTTAAGCGAACATTCTGGCCTGATCAACCAGGATAACTTTGTTGACCCAA